GTTAAGAAATAATTTTCAAGATACAAGTAACATTAATGAGTATGGTTACCTACTAAACTGTCAAGAAGCCAGAGCCCAGAATGTCAAATTCAGACTGAAGAAATGCAGTGTTTTAAAAGTTAATCTTCAAATATACTTACTACATACAACTATTTCTGGTAGAAAAAAAAAAGCTAGATTTCAAAAAAATCTAGATTTAAACAAAGGCTTTAAAATTACAGTCACCAGAGTGTATTAGCCAGTAAAACTCCTTTACTTATAAATATAAAACTGTATTTGCTACACTTGTGAATGTTCCAATACTTGAACTCATTGTAATTCAGTCATGATTTTTAATACACACAGACACATATATATATGAGATATCCTAATATGTATTTCAGGTTATTGTAAAGAAACAGAACTATGACAAATAAGCTAAAGCCAATTTATTGACTTTGAAGAAGTTAGCACAAACATTATAAAACTGAAGTTAATAGTGTATTTAATATTCTTTTCCCTAGAACTTGAAGACAAAAATTACACTGCATTAGTTTACTACATAAGCATGTATATTCATATGTATGTGTGACTATGCACATAATTTATTTTGAGTATCAATCTGTATTGGCATGGAGAAAGCTAAGTATGGGCTAATATCACAGGCTTGAAGAACTTCAAATGTTTAAAGAAAGCAGCTTCTTAAGGAGCTGTCTATTAATCATCAACCAAAAGTCACATTGGAATTATAAACACACAGTGGCCATTCCCTTGCCCTTCATTTCACTCAACAACAAACAACTACAATGTGTTTAGTACAACACAAAGTACTTGTGCCTGCTAATGTGTTACTAATTAGTGTATCTATACCTAAATGTATAAATATATATTCATATAAACATTATTTATGCATATATATTTATATTTATACAGAAATGTTTGCTGCATGTATGGATTTGCATTTTTAAAGTATGAAATATTGAAGTTACATATAATTTCTAAATTTAGCTTATAATTTTATCTGGATCCAGACCAATTCCTACTGAAATCAACACGGAAAAAAAAACAAACACCAAAACACCTCCCCCAGAAAACCTCTCTCAGTCTCTCTGCAAAAGATAGCACATTAAAACTATCTTTATCCACAATAAATACCATCTTATTTATTTCTGCTAGAGAAAAATTTATCAGTAAAGCTGCCAAGAATGACTTTATGTATGCCGGAATCTTCAGAGCACCAAATTGCTATGCATTATTTAAATCAAAAACTTGCAATTGTGCATTTTTATTGTTTCTAAAGAACATTACTCAGAAAGTAACAAAACTTGGAATAATTTCTGGGAAATTGTTACAGTGTTGTTATTATTAAAAATCCACAGGGCAGATTTCCTTAATTAGCATACTGGTCTCCAAACATTTAATTCCTTCTCCATCTTCTCCACCATAAAGAGAATTTCTTATCCATGCTTCCAAGGGTCTATTTCAGGCACTATCAATCCTCCTAACCCCACAAGGTGTGTCCCAATACCTTCATATGGCCAAAAGCCAAAAGAAATACACTATTTACCTGAGAAAAGTGAAGGAAAAGAGAACTCTGGGAGCAGCTCAGAAGCACGAGATGACAATAGCGCTCTTCAAGCCCCACCACTCTGCTGTAAAAAGGAACTGAACCGTTGCCCAGGTCCCAGGGACAATCAGTTAATGTCAGCCTCAAGTACCAGAAAAGAGGATCACCTAGCGTAGTAATGGCACAACACTACTGCTTGTCACATGGCAATCACAGCAGAAGACCTTCAGTGAACCACTCAGAAGCCAAAGAATATTCAGAGGAACAAACTGGCCACATTTCTGTCTTTCAGATCTGTCCTCGTTCCACATCTGTTCCTGTGACCTTATCTTCAACTCTTATTTGCTACATTATATTTCATTCCAGACCAATCACTTTTCTTTTCCCTTTCAACTATCAGCTCTGTATCTTCAACTTTTTTTTTTTAATACAGTGCAATCAATTTTCCTCAGTAAGAGCACAAAAACAGTCTCCTTCAAAGCATTTTTAGTTGCCTTCCAACACCAATCACAAAGCAGACACCAACAGAATTCCTACCAATTGATATTTTAAATGTTCTGGTATGTTCTGCAACACAACTCTGTGGGACAGATACTGATTGGTTTTGACATACAACGTACACTAATGCATTACTCAAATTCAGGGACAAAGACATCTAGCACATCGCTTTATATACACGTTCTTAAGAGAAACATTTTCAAATCCAACCTTTTTTCCTAGAACAAGACCTATCAATAGCTAAATATCACTTGTCTTCAAATATTACAGACTCAGAACACAAACCTTGATTAGAGAAGTTTTTTGCTTAAAATTTTTTATCACTGCAAAGACCCAAATTAAAAAATAGGTATCACTGATGTTAATTCAACTGGTGAACATATTAATATTTTTCTTTTTACTTAGAACACCTTGAGCTTCATATCTTAAGGAATTAATTAAATATAATCTCAACGTAAGAGAAAAGAACTGGTTAGCGCAAAGAACTTGCTAATGTGCATGAACATGTTGCTGGCAAGTTTACTGAAAGGTATTTCTGAAGCTGATCAAAAACGCCCAGTTATGAAGGGTGGCAGATGTACATGGATAAACCTGCCAGAATTACTTGATAGTGCTGACAAGCAGGAACTTACTGTGTCAACATATTGCCCAATTTTGGGAGTGGGAACGAAGTAGAAGAAGAAGAAGCAGCAGCAGCAAGCAGAACCCAGGCAGCAAGTATTAAACTCTTACATGAATCTGAATTTCATTTTTATCAATATAACTAAACAGTTGCCTCCTATTGGTAGTATGGTTTCAAGACATTCTTCTCTGGCATTTGTTAAGGATAGGAGCAACAACATTAACCCAGATTAAAATCTTGTACACAAAATTCCGCAGCTTGTATTAAAAAGAGCCTAGTAGGAAAAAAAAATACAAGTTTTCTGAGTCTCTGAAATCAGACTGTTATTCCAGCTGGTCCTGAGAGTACTCTTAAGTATTTGCTTTCAGTTGAACAGAAAAATACCAGGCTAAATTCACACAGAAGAAAACAAGTTTCCAAATTTACATAATGCATAATACCTCAGCTTTTCAAAAGCTTAATTTTAAAAATCAAAGGAATTTTTCTTTAAAAACATTTATCTACTTTTTTTTTCCCTAGTGATGACTAAATATCTGCTAATTTATGACAATTTACAGGCACAACAATAAAGTTGTGTATTCATTAAAGATGTATCTCACTGACTAAACCACAGAAATAAGATCATTTACTGCTGTTTTCCCTACTAATTCAAATTTATCAGAATTTGCAATGCCTTACATGCAGACAATTTAAATAAAAGAATAATTGTAAATTGAAACACATTTCCCATTCCTAAAAAATGACTGGGGCTATATTCATTAGCTTTTGTGTTGCTGTGCTCCGTGCAACACAGTAGTTTCACCAGGCATATTGTGTCTGAAGTATAATCTTTCTCGACCTCAGTGCTTCAGAGACATTGACCAGCAGTCCATGAAAGCCACTCCGCCTTCACTTAGGGTAGCCAATAAAAAATTAGCAACTCTCCCTTTAAACAGAATGAAGCAGCAAAATGAAATTTCAGGTCTGACTGTAAGGTGCCCTCTTTGAATAGAGCTGAAAAGTGCACAGGAATGCACACATTTTACTTCAACAATCTCTTAAAGTAATGGGGGGGGTGTTTGGGTGGTGGTTTGTTGTTTTTTTTTTTACTTTGTTTCTATTACTAAGTGTCAATCTAGATGCTATTCTTACCATACTGATACGTCTAAAATGTTTGAGAGTTCATACTTTGTTGAGAAAGCGATTACCTAAAGAGAAAGCATATATGAATGATTTAACTGTATTTTGACACAGAAAATTTCAATTTATCTGAGACTAAAAAAGCTAACCTACAAGAAATTTGAGATTCACTTCACCTTGTAGAGATATAACTGCAAGTGCATGCTCTGCTTTTTTCAACTTAAAATGGATTTCACACCATGACAGGTTTCATTCTACATTAAAATTGCAAATCTGCTATGTGGCCCAGTTTCAGCTGCAATTGATCTGCTTTGTCGTCATAGATTAAAAAAAACAGTGAAGGGCACTGCAGCTTTAAATATTTCAGAGCTATGTAGCTAGTAAATAGACTCCATTGCAATATGGCTCTGAAGGTCGTGTCCTATTGTCTTTTTTTCTCTGCAAATATTTTGAACAGCATAAAATGGTTTACTTTATACAATACCTCCCTGCCATTTCTAAATCACGTCAATTGTATTAAGCATTTCCTTACTGGAAAGAACAGATATTCTCTTTCCATACACACCCACGCTGCTTCTAGATGTATTCAAAACGTCCACTGTGAATATAACAGCAGGGTGTACATATCAGACATATACAGCTTTACATATGTATACCTTATACAAACAGACTCCCTGTTAAATCCCACCACAACATAAAGACATTTAGTTATTTCAATGGCAATAAAGTAACTAACTGGATGTCAGGTCAAGAACTATCTTTGGTTAAAATTAACAGGCCAGGTAGAAAACTGACGCCAGCAATTTTAACATCTCCTGTTTCTCACATATGGGAGAATATGAAAAAAATTTATAACACACAGCACCAAGAGAACACAGTCTGCCAAACCTGTTTTTCATGAAGGAAGGCTACGACCTTTCAGATGCTTAAAAAAAAAACAAAAAACCAAAAAAAACACCAAACCCCAAAAGTCCTGTCACATTTAAGTATAAGTTACAAGAAAAATAAGACTCTAAAGCTTAAGGCAGAATCTGGAATCTTTCTATATGCACTCCCGAGGATCAACCCCCCTTCTTTCATATAACATGACTATTCAATGCAAATATAAGTTATGGAGATGCCTCTCAGATAGAACAGTAACATGAAATAAACCCCTGCTAAAAATACAAAGTTGTGATAGCTGTCACCATGTAGAAGGTGCATGTAGTCATTTACCTGAAAAGGCAACAGATTGTTGCCATTGTCCGTCCTGAATGCGTTGTCTTCCATCCAGGATTTGGGGGTTAAGGGTGCAGCCCGTGGGAACTTCGGAGGGGCAATGACATTGCTGGAGAATGGTTTTTTAAGGGGTGAAATGGGATTGAGGGGGGAGGGTACGCCAACCCCCACTCCCACGCCGACCCCCACTCCAACTGCCCTTCGAGGGTCCCTACCAGCCTGCAGCCCACCCCAAGGGTTGGAAGGTGTACTCCAAGCTGCATTCTGATGGTTATTCCAGCTGGAGGACGAAGAAGAGGAGGCAGAGGAGGAAGATGGTTTGCTGGTCATGATGGGCTGATGGCTGTAAGCAGCATTTCTCTGGGCAAAAGGTGCCTGATTAGGGCTTACAGGTGACCTCCGCTGCTGCTGCTGCTGCTGAGCTTGCTGCTGCTGCTGCTGATGTTGGTGGTGTTGAGTCTGAGCTAGGCCAATTTGAGGCGAGAAAGTGCCACCAAATACAGGGTTGACATGGTGTGGAAAATTCTGGAAAAGCATTGTCCCATTGACTGGAGTAATCCCTTGGAAAAAGCTATCATCCACCGTGTTTGTGGTCCCTGTAGACCAGGTGCTGCCGAAGGAGGGAGATAAGGAGGTGCCGGCTGCAGGTTCTTGTTGAGGCTGGTGAAAGCTCAAGCCAGGCAAAATGGGAGACTCCATCTGCATCTTCTCCTTGCTATTTTGGGAAGGAGCTGATGTGCCGATACTAGTCACTGAACTGTTGTCTTCTGGTTTGGGTGTCTCCGATGAGATGGGTGTAGAGGGGGCTTCTGCTGAGTTTGGATCTTGCTGCTGCTGCCGCTGCTGCTGGGGCTGGGCTTTGCTTTTGTCCATCAGTAAATCATCCTGCATGGTTTGCGCAGCTGAAACAGTAGGGGAAAAAAACCACAAAGACAAGATTATTAACATTGTCATTCATACCACAAACCAGGCTGTTTTAATCGTTTGCCAGCCAAAAATCTCATCCTATTGCTAGTCCTATGCTACAGCAGATTGCAAGGCAAACCCGTAATCTTCCCCCTCCCCCATTTAGGAATATGCAACAACCTTTGATCGTGCTAGATTGCCTTTAAAAATTTTTTAAAGATGCTTCACCCTTTTTGATGCCTTGTTTTCCTTCAGTCTAAATAAGAGATGTGCTTATAGGGCAGAGATATACAGCAATTTCGCCACGTCTCTTTTCTCTTACACCGGAACTCAGAGCTCTCACCCTGCAATGAGAAACTGATTCTGGTTCCTGTTTTTCCAAGCACCCTCCTCCTCCTCCACCTCCTCCCCCTGGTTATTTGCATACGTCAATAAATACTGCTGCGTCCTTCAGCAAGGTTAAAAAGACACCAGTCTTCTGTCTTCTCCACCCCCCTTTCTATAAGCGACCTTTAAAGGAGCCGGGTACCGATTTTCCTTAATTAACAAACAAGCTTTCAAATATTTAAATTTATCAGAGAGAAAGCACACACGACATCTCGCAGTGACACGGAGCGGTTCTGAGCTGCACAATCCCGCTCTGGCCTTTTTCCGCCGCACAGCTCGCGGCTCGCAGACGGCATGAGAAGCGATCGCGACGACGGGGG